AGGTCATCCGACAGGCCCCAAGGGAAAGAGGGGTTTGGTCTAAAAAGTTTTTTATTTCCTCTCACTTTTTAAACATTGGAAAATCCATTTGGCTCAGAGAAATGAATAGTAAAAGGAGCTCTAACTACCTACAGCCAACAAAATGTAATGGAAAAGAGTCAGGAATATGGCTGGACTTTATTTTCTTTTTGCTCAGCACATCCTGACTTTAATCTGAAAGGTAAATAGGCCAGGCCCAACATACCAACTCTTTTTAGGTGAAATTATCTAGGTTATAAAAACAAGCAACAACTGTGTTTTCATTCTCCCTGCATCCATGGCTGACAGAAATAGCCTCCAAAATAAATCAGAAGCAAATACTGCCCACCCAGGGAGCAAACCACAAATTTTCACTACTTTGATAACTGACTTTTATGAAACCTTTTCCTTTCACCTGAATTAAAATTATGCGTATTGCAAAAGCCAGAAAGGGAAAGTTCAAATTTTCATAATTGGGTTATTTAAATCTGCAGGCAAAAAAGAGAGTGAGAGAAGAGGCAGACTCTGTGCATGTTCTTGGGAGGCTCCTATCTCTGAAATATTTAACTTGCAGAATAGAATAAGTGATTACACAGTACCCCTCTCAGTAACCACCCAACATCACCGTCTTTGTCTGCATCATACACCTAGTGACCTGTGACTTTAGCCGTGCTGGTGGGAGCCACGCCCATTTGTGTCTTATCTGTGTAGTTTCTCTTGCCTTATTCTACATTTTCTTCTGCATATTACAGCTGAGAAAATAACCTCATGGAAACCACTCTCACACACCGAACACCTCCATCAAGAAACAGGACATATTTCTGGGTTACTGGATGAACACCCATCACACCCCTCTCTCTGGATGCCATTCACATCAAGAATTACCTCTGGGGAATAATTTAAAGCAGCATTCTACGAAGCACCAGTTACGGACAAGGTCATAGGTGTTCCACTGAAAGGGGGGGCACAGCTAAGTGGAAATGCTTCCTCCGGAGGTTCACGGGGTCCCTCCTTTCTTATCAGCCACAAGATTTCTCAGAGCCTCTGAAATGTGAATGTGCCTCACATCCCTCCAAGGACAGGAACAGAGAATGGGGCCGTTTTCAAGCTAATTTGAATGTGGAACACTTTATTTAAGAATCATTTGTGGCGCTCAGGGTTTGGGGCAGGGGAGGGCACGGACACACCTGGGGTGAGGTGGCACCCATTTAAAGGCCAGGCCTCCCTAAAGAGAGGGAAACATCTGGTAACATGCAGTAGTCCAGAAAGACACTCATCACCCTCCCATTCCGCATTCCCCGACACATCGCGCTCAGCATTTGGAGCACGGTGAAGATCTCTACCACCTTCATGTTAAAAATTAGAAATCAGATATCCAGTCCCACAATGGAGTTAGCTGGGGTAGAGTTAGTACAGGAGCACGCTGATCTTGGAAATGAAAAGAATTGGAGCTCACAGCAAAACAGCCAGGGACATCACTTGGAGAGGACAGGACACAAGCAGAATGTTTAAAAAGCTTTATTAAATCTATGGAAATATACCAGGACAGCACCAACAAAGCAGGAGAACCACTATATTTGGACATTTCCTGGGGTAGAAGAGGTCTTAGCAAAACCAATAAAATCATATTAAATAGCATATGCTGAAGAAATCTTTCCCAGTCAATAATTCAGAGATGTCATCCAATCTTATTTAAAAGTGGAATTTAGTAGTATATGGCACGTCAAAAAATGCTACAAATTTCTTTTCAGCCAGCCTTGAAACCTCATGACATATTGATATCTTTAACTTAAGCGAAAAGTAAAGTCTGGGGCTATTAGACACATGTTTAAATCATTTTTTAAAAAAGAAGAAATAAATCTTGAATCAAAAAAAAACAGCTATAGTATTTCAAGTGAGTGTGATTCTCACAGCAAATTTACAGACACTAATGTAATCATCTCATGCAGCTCACAATTTGGGCAGGTCACAGGTAAGGGGGAAATAAGAAAAACAGGGGAGCTGATCTGTATAGGTGCATCAAGTTCCCAAACTGGAGAAGTAGCAAAAGTATCAAGCCATCTGACTTTCTGCTTTTGTGTATTCCCCATCCCTAGGGAGGTGTGATCCTACAGGACAGAACAATGCAATTTAGTGACTCCTCAGCCCCAAATTGCTAAAGGAAAAATCAGAAACTTGGTGCTGTTTTTAATTAGCAGCTAATTACTGGAATACTAAAGGCTAATACAGTTATTAAGTGTTAGCTCCTTGGGAATATGACATGCAGCCTTTTCTTGTATGTTGACGCACAAACTTGAATTCTGTACCATGAAATCTCACAGCAGAAAACAAGTCCCAGATCCTGCTCTTAAACATCAGTAACCCTCAGAGAAAATTTTCCATTCTGGTTTATACTAAATGTTGCCTCTGACTCATTGGTTTCAAGGATTAGCAAGGGTCTGGAACATGTGTGAGAATGTCAGAGAAATAATCACTTTTGGAGGGCAGTATTCAGCAAGACCTGAGGAAACAGGAGCCGCTCGGGACGACAAGGTCATTTCCTCGCTTCCTGTGAGGCACACACACCAACTAGACGGGGAAGCAGCAGCAGCACAGTCGCCGCTCCTCGGGGAAGCCAATTCCTGTCCAACACACCCTTGGCCTTGCAATGCTGACCCCCACTTAGTGGGCCCTACTCCCTTCCTGAGCCTTCCTTACCCAACACTATACAATGAGCTATTGCTTGTCTCCCAGAAGTTCAGGTCCTGGAGGCTCAGTGTGCTAACACTGGGAGCTGGTGGAAACTTAAGAGGTGAGGGTGGGGCCGGCGCTGTGGTGCAGCGGGTTAACACCCTGGCCTAGGGCGCCAGCATCCCATGTGGATACCGGTTCGATACCCAGCTGCTCCACTTCCAATCCAGCTCTCTGCTATGGCTTGGGAAAGCAGTGGAACATAGCCCAAGACTTTGGGTCCCTGCACCCACAAGGGAGACCCAGAAGAAGCTCCTGGCTCCTGCCTTCAGATGGGAGCAGCTCCAGCCCTTGCGGCCAATTGGGAAGTGAACCATCGGATGGAAGACCTCTCTCTCTCTCTCTCTCTCTCTCTCTCTGCCTCTCCTCTCGCTGTGTAACTCTTTCAAATAAATAAATAAATCTTTAAAAAGGAAAAAAGAGGTGAGGGGTTAGGCCAAGACAATTAGGTTATTGCGGGGTGCTACCATTAGAAGGAATTAATGCAGTTACGGTACCCCAGTTAGTTCCCACAAAAACAGCTGCTGAAAAACCAGCACACCTGACCCCTGAATCACTCTGTGTCACCAGGTGATCTATGCCGCCCTCATGCACTGCCATGATGATGCCCTTTGCCAGGGGACAACAAAGCAAGGGGCTTCCACACAGGAGCCAGAGGCATGCTGCTTGGACTCTCGACCTTCAACCACGAGCTTCATAAACCTCTTCTCTTTACTAGGTACCCAGTCTTGGGTATTTTGTTATAGCAAAAGGAAAAGGATTAAGATTCCAAAAGTCCATTGTGAGAGAAAATTCTAAAATATTCCTGAAAACCCAGCATTTTGAGAATAAGGATAAAGATTATACCTGGGAAGTCTATGGAAATGAAGAAGAGATACAGCTGCTCAAGCGCCACAGATAAAACCTCCTTCAATTCAGGTCTATCTGAGGACACACGAGGGTGCGTCAAAGCTGTGTGGAGCAATGGATGTAAGAGATAAGGTCAATTGGTGCAAAAATTTTTGAAATTCATGTATAATTTTTTTATAATACACATTTCCCATGAACTTTTTGAAGACCTCTGTATGTATGGATTTCAAAAGTTTTTGCACACAAAAAAAATCTTAAATCCATCGTCCTGTGAATTTCTGAGTTACCCTCGTATATCATTTAACATCTGTTTTAAAAGATGTATTTGTTTGAAAGGCAGAATGACAGAAAGAGAGACAGAGAGGGAGACAGAGATCTTCCATCTGCTAGTTCATTCTTCAAATGCCTACGATAGCAAGGCCTAGGTCAGGCCAAAGCCAGAAACCTAGAACTCCATGTGGGTCTCTCAAACGGGTGGCAGAGACTCAAATACTTGGGCCATTATCCACTGCCTTCCAGGTGCATTAGCAGGAAACTGGACCATAAGTGGAGCCTTTGGAACTCGAATCAGCACTCTGATGTGCAATGCCACTGTCCCAAGTGGCAGCTTAATCTACTGCACCATAATACCATCCCCCATCATGTAACTCTCTTTGACAGAACTCCTAAATTCATAAGAAAAAGGATATTTGCTGGGTCGAAGAAGGTAGGAAGGGTAGGGTTAGAAGTATCATTATGCTTTTAAAACTATATATATATGAAATACATAAAATCTGTTCCCTTTATATAAACAAAAATATATATAATTTAAAAAAAAAAAACAAAGAAAAAGATACTCCTTAACCACCCCAATAAATTTATTTTCTTATTTTACAAAAATGATATTTGTTGCGATTTCCTTCTTTAATAGATAGATTCTGTTGCCTAGAATAGTTCCCAAAACACAGTCACTGCTCAGTAGATATTTGTTGAATGAATGAATGAATAAACGATATTCTTCTTTTCCATCTCTGAATTTTACAGGAACCCATTGGTCAATTTCCTATTGTTACATCTGATCCAGCTAGCCTTAAATGATACTTGTAATGAAGTTCATGAGCATCGACAGCAGGTATCATACTTAGTGACAAGTGTACTCCCGGGGATCCACAGCATTCTCTTTATTATGTGGAATAAAATGCCTTCAGCATATTTTGAAAATAGAATGAAAGGAGGTTTGATAAAGTAAAACAACTATATACTATGCACTTGCAATCAGGTCCAAATGTGGGATTTCCTTCCAAAGCAGGATCTCCTTGCAGCAAACTCTGGATTCTCAGTAAGCCACAGAAATACATTCTGTACTTTAAAAAATTTTTTCCTTTTGTATTTTCTCATAGCCAAAGCATCAGAGGAAAACTTACAGCTGTGCAGAAGATGCACCGGCATTCCTGGAGTGTGGTCATCTTGTCCAGGGACTGTTCGCACAGGCAGAGTTTGCAAGTGACGAGGGGAGCCAACGCCAGGTCTGCAGGCGTCGGATTTTCAGCAGTCATGGTTAGACACTGCAGTCTGCCGACTGAGCCCATCAGCCTCTCTTCTGCCTTCTTCAGTCTCCTCAATCCCTACAGAAAGGACCAAAGAGAAAATATTGCATCCATTGATTCAGTTATCATCTGACCTCCCCATCTGGGGGCCAAGAGAACAAATCCTCACCTTTAGTGATCTCTAAATGTATGGCCAATGCATTTCAGAGAAGCAAGGACCAAAGAACTTGCTTTCTTGGCATGGTGTTCCTGGAACTTTGAAACTTAAGCTGACTTCACTATCCTAACGTGCATCACGTAAACTATGGGAGATTAACAACCAATGAGGAGATGCTGGTAAAGCAGAGCTTCAGTTAGATCACATGAGTGAGTTTGGAGGTGTGCTGCACGGCATGACAGCTATCATTGGTAATAATATACTGTATGCTGGGCTGGCACTGAGGCACAATGGGCTAAAGCCCTGGCCTGCAGCACTGGAATCCCATACGGGCACCAGTTTGTGTCCTGGCTGCTCCATTTCCGATCCAGCTCTCTGCTATGGCCTGGGAAAGCCGTAGAAGGTGGCCCAAGCCTTTGGACCCCTGCACCCACCTGGGAGACCCAGAAGGAGCTCCTTGCTCTTGGCTTTGGATCAGCTCATTTCTGGCCATTGCAGCCATCTGGGGAGTGAACCAGCAGATGGAAGACCTCTCTCTCTTTCTAGCTCTACCTCTCTCTGTAACTCTTTCAAATAAATAAAATAAATCTTTAAAAAAATAATATATTGTATACTTGGATGGTATTGACAGATTTTAAATGTTCTCATCATGCACAAAATAATAAGTATTGGAGATGATGTTAATTAGGTTGATTTAATCACTTCACAATGTATACAAACATCAAAATATCACACTGTATACTATAAATATATATAATTTTGTCAGTTATGATTTAATAAAGCTGGAAAGCAAACATCCACTATGAACAAACACACCAGTTAGGAGTTTCATTGCTACCACCAATACACAGTTTCAAAAAATTCTTAAAAATAAGGTGCCACCTCTGACCTCAGAATCAGCCCTTAAGGTATTCTGGTCTGGCTGAAAAGCCCATGAGAGCATTTCAGGCATGGAAAGCCAAGACACTGTAGCAAAAAATGTCCTACATGAAAGACCTCTGTGGGTGAGACCCCAGTGAAAAGAAGTGGTCATCAAAGAAGGGTATACTTTTTTCTAAAGAGAGAAGAGAACTTCCACTCTGCTTAAAGCCTTGTCTAAATACTGCAGGAGTTTGTGGATTCAAAAGGCTTCCATAGCCTAGGCAGCTCGTGTCAAGAGCCTTGGTGATCACTGACATCACACATAAGAGTGTTAATTGTAAATTAACAACAAGAGTCATTGTGCACTAACTTCCTATGCAGGACCTCTGTCCACAAAAAGTTGTATTATCAGAGTTAACAATAAAACTTATTCTCAAAGATTTATTTCATGTTAGCGTATTAAGTGGAGGATATTCTTAAGTCTGATAAGTTTTAGTTATGCCTAAGTGCCCAACTCCATTGCTTGTTTTCTTAGGTGCCTCCTTAATTAATGCTAAAACTTTTTCTCAAGGGATTACTTTCTTTTAATGTATTAAATGGGGCATATTCTTATGTCTCATAAGTTACAGTTCTATCTAAATGCTCACAAAAGATGTACCATTCTTGGGTGCTTCTTTAAAGTTAATTAAGTTTCTAAAAAAATGTGAAGTTAAAAAAATAATAAGGTACCATTCAAAAGTTAAAGAATTAGCACAAGATCCAGCAATTCCACTTCTGGGTATATAGGCAAAAGAATTAAAAGCAAGATCTCAAAGAGTTGCTTGTACATCCATGATCATAGCATCATTATTCACAATAACTGAAGGGCAGATATAGCCCAAGTACCCATCAACAGATGAATAAACAAAACCTAGTATATCCATACAATGAAATCTTATACAGCCCTAAAGGAATGAAATCCTGACACATGCTACAACATGGCTGAACCCTTAAGGTATTATGCTAAGTGAGACAAGCCAGCCAGAAAAGGGCAGAAGTTATATAATTCTGTGAGAACTTATATGAGGTAACTAGAAGAGTCAAATTTGTAGCAGCAGAGAGTACAATGGTGGTTACTAAGGGCTGATGGGAGGGGGAAATGACATGTTAACATTTAATGGGTATAGAGTTTCTGCATGGGATGATGAAAAACTTCTAGAAATAGATACTGGATGGTCACATCACTAGATATACTTAACACCAGTGACCTGTATACCCCAAATGGTTGAAATGGTAAGTTTTATGTTATGCACACTTTATTCTAATTAAAACTTTTTAAATAGTGTTGGTGTTCAGTGTATGCCTTCGCATACATTATTTTGTTTAATCTTCTGCAAATGTGATTATTTTCTTCATTTTACATATTAATTGAAGTATCCAGATGTTAAAGAACCTGCTAAAGTTCCCAGAGTTTACATGGCAGAGCATAACTAAAACTTCTATCTTCTGAGGTCAAACCTAGATCCTGAGCCACTATACCATAGCCACTATACCACAGTGGATATTACAGAGAGATGAGGCAGAGAAAGATGAAAACGGTGAAGTTTTACAGAACAAAACTCATCTCTACACACAGTATAACTATAGGAAAAGTATCTTTATACTAAAAAATAAAAATTACAACCAAAATCATTCCACTAGACTGATTTTATTCAAAACATCTTTAAAAGAAGTGAAATAATTGTTAAAATAGTCTTCCTACATTAATCTTATTTTATATCAGGAAATTTCATATTCTGTTTAAATAAGAGCAAAATCCTAAAAGTTATTATTTTAAGAGAATATGGTCAATTCTGATCTACAGAAATAATTGCAATACCCACCCCCTATAAGAATCAGACTTGGAGCCAGCACTGTGGCGTAGTAGGTAAAGCCACTGCCTGCAGTGCCAGCATCCCACATGCACGCTGATTCTAGTCCAGGCTGCTCCTCTTCCAATCTAGCTCTCTGCTATGGCCTGGGAAAGCAGCAGAAGATGGCCCAAGTCCTTAGGCCCCTGTACCCATATGAGAGACCCGGAAGAAGCTTCTGGCTCCTGGCTTTGGATCGGCGCAACTCTGGCCGTTGCAGCCAATTGGAGAGTGAACCAGTGGATGGAAGACACCTCTATCTCTCTCTCTGCCTCTCCTTCTCTCTCTGTGTAACTCTGACTTTCAAATAAATTAAAAAAATAAATCTTTTTTAAAAAAAGAACCAAACTTTTTTCCTCCCAGTGTTTGAGCAAAATAAATTACTTGACATGTGCAGCATTTACTACCTGGCCTCAGTGGATTCTGTCTCAATACATGGGTAGAAATTTATTACAAAGGGTGGGTGGGAGATTGGAGTGAATGGAAAAAAAAAAAGATAGAATGAGATTTTTGCTTGTCAATTTGCCCTTGTTAACTTTCTTAATGTCATACCAGAAAGAGTCAAGTTACTAACTCTAGTAACTTGAAAATTTAAGGTTCTCCGCTTACTCCCTAAGTAGTAGCAGTAGTCTCAATTCAAGATAAATGAAATAAGAAATTAACTAACAATTAGCTTCCAAAATGGAAGACATGATATTCCTTGGCGAAGGTCCAGTAAGAGGGAAAATACAATATTCTTCATCAATTTACTATTTGGCAAGCTATCAACCAAGAGCAAATTAAATTCAAATAAACCTGCACATAAGGTTCAGGATTTTGAGACTTAAAAAAAGAAGAAGAAAACCTCTTAGTTTATGCCTATTTGACTATCCAAAAATCAGGTTATTCTCTTGCACAGAAAAATAATGTGATTGGAAAGTATGATGTTTTACTATGACCCTCAACTAGTTAGTTGAGAATTATCACTCCATTCTAACAAAAATGAATGATGTTACCTCTTCTCCGTCCCAGATTTTTCTTAGACAGCTACCACCAGTTTACTTCTCCAAGACTCCCCAGTGCACAGCACACGGCTCCCACCTAATTCCCAACTGCTATCTTCACATTACTATTTTCCCAGCACTGCATATACAACATACTTTGAGTTCTCTTTCACTCTGAAAGAGAAATCCCAAGTGGAAAAAAAAAAAAAAAAAAGAAGAAGAAGAAGAAGAAGAAGACATGTTTCCTGAGTAGGAAAGGACAGAAGACTTCCTTAAGAAGATTCATGCACTAATCTCACTACTGGGTGTACAGCCAAAGGAAATGAATCCATTATATCAAAGAGATACTAGGAATCTCAGAGAAATAGACTTCTCGTGAAGGCAGAACTAGAAACTGCAGCAATCAGTCTTGAAACTTACCAGATACGTATTTACATCCATTAGTTTATGAATTACATGCCTATAAGGTTTTGAAATCAAAATGATAAGTATAAAACAAAGAAATATGTTTTATATACAAAAATATTTTGATGATATAAAAACTTTTTACATAGCAGAGGCTCATTTTGGGTTTTTTGTTTTTAATTCCAAGCATTCCAATTGGCAGCACTTGTGGCTCGGGGAGATGGAGGAAAGAAGTCACATATTCTATCTCTTTGAGATGTGAAGAATCCAAAATGACTCTTCAAAAGGAAGTGATTTATTTTTCTGTGTACAAGAACACCAGTTCCTTAATATGATGGCTTTTGAACATTTTTCAAGCAATGGAATTTTATAAAAAAACAACAATCTTAAGCAAATTGCCATACTATAAAAGAGATTAAGGTAGACCATTGGTGGTTCAAGAGTGGCAGATGCAGGAGCAATCCCTGGGAACCCCCTCAGAATCCAACTAAGTCCCAACACAGAAGCAAAAAGACTTCTCCATGCACAGGCTGGAAACCAGATCTTTGGTTTTTCACTTGGGGAAAAATCAACAATGACTGTTTAAATGAATGACACACAGCAAACACTTCATAAAAAGAATATCAAACAAGAAATCCTTTCACTATTGATTCACTGGAAATTGAGCTCTTCATGCAGTGAACAAGAGAATCCTGAAGTCCTCAGGTGCCATTTCCCCACATTAGAGATGTGGGTGAAAGGCTCCAAAGTTTCTGAGGATTTCTTCCTTTACGTCTTAGATTC